ATATATATATATATATATCCACTCTGTTACCCGGCTCAGGGATCTCAGTTTCGTTATTCTTATATGTTTGTAAATTGTACATTTTTTGCTTTAAAAATGATTGAATTATGCTGTTCTTATCTTCCGGTTAAAGTTTTTATGCCTTTAGTAAATCTGTATGCAATATTTTTAGAATTATCAACAATTTTAAAGTTGCTTAGGTGCCGCTAAGCCTAATATATTTTTTTGGTGGCGGCCATTGCTTGTTTACATTTGAAACAGCAGAATAGTGGATTTGTTGCCAATCTAGAGAATCTTAGCTTCGCAACAACAAAGATAGCGCCTTCATTCATTATTGCGAATTAAATCATGCTTAATCCTTTCTGGAATTTTTTCGAGGAAATAAGCGTTTAAGATTTACTTCGTAATTTTTAATACAGATATTTTGAGTCTTTATGTATTTTTGCCTTGTCTCAAAGTGAGAACTGAATTAATCGAATAAGAAATACTCAATCGTCTGTGAAAAACTGTTTCTTTTTGGTTTTGATTGCTTAATTTCTTTTACACTTCGTTCTAGCTTTATTTTGGTATTTGAATAAAACATGTGGCAACGATTAGATAATTTTTAATGATATATATTTTGTGCATTCTAAGTTAGAATATGAACGAAATATAATACTGTTAAGTGAACCTAGCGCCAGAGTGTCGCTACGGTAAACAAATAGAGTGAAGTTTAAAGAATGCATTTATTCTATTGTGGTTTATGCGCTGTCGGCGATGTTGATTTAATTTAATAAGTTTAAATGAAATGCAAGAAAAATGCGTATAATTTAATATTCCGTACAAGGAAGTCATGTGGTGTACACATCAGATTTTTTATTTTAAAATTTAAGACAGCCAGAGGTATACAATTGGTAAAACAAAATTATTAAACTAAATAAATTTAATAATATATTGTGGCAAGGTATAATATAAGTATTTAAAGAAAAATTAAATATCTTGAACATACAGTAGATGAGCAAAATTGTTAAACTAAATAATCTAATATATATAATACAGTCATGTAAGGAAAATATGTCTTAAACGGTGTTATGCGCCTTTTAAGGGAACACAGTAACACACAAAATTTCCTATCAATTGACCTATAACCTAATCCAAATAAAAAGAAAAACATTGCGTTGTGGTATGACCGGATTAACCCGGAAATAAAACTAAGTAGTGGACTGGTGAAAGACATGAGCACAAAAAAAAAAAAAAAAAAAAAAAAAAAAAAAAAAACATACATTGACTGATCCAGAAAAATATGACTATTTATTTAACTCTTAAACATTTAATTAACTTTTAAGCAATTTATATTCTAGCAAATCTTAACCAGTTAAGGAGTAATAATTGAATGAGACAAAATGTATACTTTAACTAAATAAACTCACAATTTTCCTTCAAGATTCCACAATATCAAACATTATTTTTAATTCATACTGGTAAGCATAATCACTTAAATTTTGTGACAGAATAACAATACCCTCCCCGGGGAGAAAAAAAGAATATTTAACAATTTACACTTTGATAAAGCATTCCACACAGAATAAGCAATTAATGAACTTAGTTACAGAAACCAAATGATACTAAGAATGTTATTGCACATTTTAATTTTTATTTTTTGAAAAGAATAAACCGGGTAAAATTATTAAAGAATTAAATCAGGCTTTACATCTTAACAAACAACTTATTCCTACAGCGTAGCAACGAAAATCAATTAATTGCACCTGATATTAAAATCTTAACGATAAAAGAAATTTTACTTCTTTAATTAAATTATTTAACTAAGAATATATTTCCCTAGCCATTCGAATTAAGTTACCTTATCTCAACAAACAGAATTTTAGGAACCGCATATCAAGAAAATTTTCTTAGGTACAGAAGGAATTTAAACAACCATTAACTATTAAAATCACTTAGCTGTCTCTTCTAGGAGGCCTGGTTGGTGAGGTGGTAGCGGTGGACATCCAAAAAAAATTTCTTGAATTCAACAGGTCACAACTAAAAAAACCCAGAAGTTAGGAAAAGTTCCTTGAGGTTATTGTCATTGAATTTCTTGAATTAGAGGCGTGAAAATTTTCTAGAATCTTGTAGAAAAAGTTCCATGAGGCTATTGTCATTGAATTTCTTTAATTAGAAGCGTGAAAATTTTCTAGAATCCCAGAGTCTTGTAGAAAAAGTTCCTTGAGGCTATTGTCATTGAATTTCTTGAATTAGAGGCGTGAAAATGTTCTAGAATCTTGTAGAAAAAGTTCCATGAGGCTATTGTCATTGAATTTCTTGAATTAGAAGCGTGAAAATTTTCTTGAAACCCGCACTGACATCTGTTGAAGAAATTTAGTTGTCGGATAAAATCTTGACTTCCCAAGGACTGGAACAGTAATCAATTATGTATAATATTTTTTCAGCAATAGATGGCACCCTTGAAGATGACTCTGCAACAGGTCATCCATTTTTAAGAGATATTGGTTTTGTCTGAAGATCACTGTCGGACTTAAGCCATAGTTTAACTATTTCAGGTGGGTATTCATTCTGGTAGATTTTTTTTTAAACTTATCGATAGTAAACGCAAAAGATTAATGCCCAAATGAAAATTTGGCCGAGGATAATTAATCGGAAACTCTTTTCTTTCGTGGGCAAGAGCCCCGTAGATCAAGCGGGAGAAACTCCGCCATTTCTTCCTTTTAGTCGGCTCGCAGAGCACGCAACACTAATCTGCTGAGAACAGCTTAATTCGTGGCCAAAGTGTAAAAAGTGAAAAAAGTCCAAAAAGTGTCCTTGTCCCTCAAAAACCGCCCGTTAAAAAGAAACGCGCGGGAATACCAACTTGGCACCACTCACGCCACGCCAAGATAAAGAAGGAAAAGTTGTGCTAATTTTTAAAATTGCTGTATTCGACGTCAGCGTATTTAAAGGAAGCATTCGAATAAACAGAAATTGTAGGCAGTACAATAATTACAAAGATGACGAAATATCGATTGTGAATTTTTTAACATAAAAGACATTCAAATCTTCATTATCAAATGCCACAGAAATCTTATTTTTTTGACAGAACATTTTAGGTTTTTCTAAGGAAAAATTGATAACTTTTATATCTAAATAACCTTATTTAGATACTATGCGGTGTTAATTTCAAGCACATTTTGAGCTGTACTTGCTATGTTATAATAACATCATAATTTTCTGCTTGCGTAGCGTAACTCATGTTTGAGTTACAGATCGGGTTTCGTTGCACTCCTGAATTTTAAGCAATTAAATAACGAATTTAAAAATGGAGTAGAAAGTCACACTTCAGTAGTTGTAATACTCAAATGTAAGTAGGTAGTTTTTATTAAGAATTTGTTAAGAATTAAATGTCTCTTTAGTGATCATTACTTAGCAATAAAGGAAATTGATTACCCGTAACTATACTTATGAAAATATATGGTAAAATGTCTGAAATGTTTTTCCACTCTCAGGTTTCAGTTTATTGTTTCATATAAAAAATATAATAAAACAAATTACTTCCACCTGAATTTCATCCATTTTAAAAGATACTGTCTCAAGAACAAGACGTAAACAACGTAGTGCTGAAACCAGAGAGTGCAGAAGTAATTTTCACTACGAAATTGTTGTTTTCTTTACTTTATTGTTTACACACGAGTCAAAGCATTTCACACATTAAATGCATTTCAGGAAATTACATTATTATAATTTTAAGTGACTTTGTATGAACTAAAAGTTCCGATTCCTTATATTCTAACTACGTACAATTCTTATTAAAAGAGAAAAAAGAACAGAAAAGAAGGGAAACAAAACTTTCTATTTAAATGGTATTAAGTGAAAATTTTTGTACTGCATAATTATGTCTGTCTACGGATTATCACTTACCTTTCCTATAAAAAGTATTAGCTTCGGTAAACGAATCCGACAGGTGTTATTGAAATAAATCTTTTCTAAATGCATTATAAGAAAATGTTTTTAAGTCGAGGTTTTTCTATTAAATTGAAAATGTGAAAACCTTTCTGATGGGAACAGCCATTTGATTCTCAATACTGCTTTAAATTGTGGTGAAAACTATGCCATCATCATTATTGTTATAGTAAATGCAGTTCCAAAAAAAAGAGTATTTCTGTATTATTAGTTCTGAAGCAGTACGTTGAAAAATGAAGATTCGGAACATGTTAACAGAATAAAGCAATATGTGTTCATATTGGAAGGGTTATTAAAAAAAAAACAAGGTACCATTTTAATAAGGCCAAATAGTGAAACAATATCTTTCTCCGAAGCTTTATTTCAAACAAAATTAGGCACCTTTTTGGAAAGTCAAACGGTCAAACAGCTCAAACGTGTCTCAACCCTAAGCATCTATTCTAAGCAAATTTAGGTACCTTTATGACGAGACAAAAAGCCGAATATATTCTGCAGCTGAAGTTGTACTCTTCAGTGATAAATTGTATTGAAATTCTGTTCCTGCTGAAAGAAACGTCAAATTCTCTTTAGTGGATGATTTTCTTCTACTTATGTAATTCAAATCAAAGAAGTATATTTCTGGATTATAAATATCAATCGTTTTAATTAACCGGATATAAACCTCACATCGATGCATCTATACTCATCCCAATCGTTGCTTGGGATCACTGGAATTTAAATAACAGCCAAACTCGGCTACTAAACCAAAGTAATCACCAAAGAAGATAACAAAACCCAGAATGACTCTATTTCCCATCAAGCCATTTCTAGCTGCTCTCGCTTAAGTAAAATTAAATGTACGAAAGGAAAAAAAAAGTTAGAGGAAAATGGGGGGATGAGAAAAAGGTTTCAGAGCGCACAATTAATGAGAGGATTGAGTTAAAGGAAGTGGAACCTTTTCCAAACGTAGTTATCTCCGATTGCCGGAACGGGTTTTATAGCTTTAATTGAAGCTGAACAAGACTCAGAACGGGACCCGTACAGTCAAGATAAAAAAAGGAAAATTCGGAAAAGAAGAAAGTTTTACTTACCAATTGGAGCCAAACATTAGAAGTCATGATTTGATTCTTTTCATTCTGAAAGTAAAAGACACGGTGTAAGTTACTATTCCTACGTAAAAAAAAAGTTAATGAATTCATACAGAAAATCTCATGAAATTACAAAAGTGTAAAGTCATGCACAACTTCATTTTAGTCCTAAAGATATACCAACAACGATGATTTTACGTTCATTATAATATATAAACCATGAAAAAATATTGTGCAGGATTATGATATTTTTAGTAATCGTATAGCTAGAAAGCGATGTGCTATCTCAGTTTACAGGCTACTGTTTACAGTTGTTTTCATTTCTCATTTTTCTAAACCTCATGAGCGATTCCAGAAGCTTTAAATAAATTTAGAATTAAAAGTACTTGCAACCTGATTTTCCGTATTCCAGTTTAGTAGGTGAAATCTAATGTGAATTTGCATTTTTGCACAGTGACATGTGTGAATGATTTTAATGCAGTTTTTGTAGCATTTGCTCTGCAAGCTTCTCGATTTTCTTTTGCACATGTACAGACATTTTGTAAGGTATTTCTCCCACTTTTTGGCGTGCCTTCGTGGTGTAACAACGGTGAGCGCGCACAGCTCGTGATTGAGAGGTCCGTGGTTCGATTCCCGACGAAGGCGTTGCTAAGTTTTCATCTTGCGTGTTTCCAAAATATACCTAATGTCTCTACAGTGGCGCCCGAACTGAAAGGGTGATGGATGATGTTTCTCCTCACCCACGATTTGGCGATTGGGTTCCCTAAAAGCACCAGTCGCCCTTTAAAAGGGGGAGTATATAAGGTATTTATCACACCTTCTTAGCGTGCCTTCGTGGTGTAATGGTCAGCACGCTCAGCGCGTAATTGAGAGGTCCATAGTTCGATTCCCGGCGGAGGGTTTGCTAATTTTTCATCTAGAAATTGACAAGGAAGTTCCGCTTTCCGCATAAGTTGCAAAAAGGCTCCTCAAGACAGCATTTCAAGAGACATGGTCATCACGATGGCAGGAAGAAGAGACAGGAAGATTTACTTACAACATCTTCCCAATACCTTCTGTGAAGAGGCTGAAATGCAACCGACTCTTCCTCCAAGCCTATACCAACCACGGGAAATTCCCAGCGTATTACAGACGATTCCTCAGACGGGACGTCAACTGTTCTTGCGGTTTTCGCGGGGAAGACGCAGACGCACTTCATTACCTGCTCTCCTGCCCTCTGACAGAGCACCTTCGACAGCAGTTCTTTCCTTCCGACTACATCACATATCCTGTGAATAGACTGTTCACGGACTATTACTGCAACAAGGGCATCTTAGAGATAATGAAGCAAGTGAATGAAAATAATTATATCCAAGAAACTACAGATTAATGTAAAATGTAGAAAGGCGGCCTAACCGTCAGATTGCTAGCAATGACTAGGATGACTTCCTAACCCTGTAGTGCCATTAACATAGTTTGGCGAAACAGGTTAAGTAAAGTGACCATATATCTCTCCATATATATCTTGCCTGCTTCATAAATATACCTAATGTCTCTACAATTTTAAAGCAATGATTCTCAAATGTGTTAACAGTATTCTCCAATTTTAAATTTACAGCTTACAGCGATTCATTTCCATAAAGGTGAAAATGAGAAAAATGAACACGATCCTAGAATAAAACGAAGTAACGCTAAATATTTATACATGCAGTGGAACCTCTTTAAGTCGATTACTCCGATTCCAGAAAAATTTGGTCTTCTACAGAATCGGCTCTTTGAAAGATACAGCTATCATTAATGCTAGGTATCATTATTAAATTATGTTCTTAGAAATACTGAACACTTGAAGAGGTGGGCTTCCAGGGAAATTGCTCTTATAAGATGTAACAGTTAATAATTAATAGTAAATATAACATAATTAATAATTATAATGAATTGTGTAATTATTAGTGCATTCATTGGAAAATGGAATTCATTAGTTTACAGAATATTTAAAAGACACATTGAAATAATTACAATATTTTTTGTTCAACATATCTCTATCTATTTCATGTACGCCAGAGCCTGACAAGCGTGTAAATACCAAGATAAACAAATTGTTTCTAACGAGTTCACAGTTACCTACGTACAGTCAACTGAATATCATCATTATTCCATAACTTCACTCCATTCAGTAGTCCATCCAACTATTACGTCCAGGGACTATGTTTCGAATTGTTTCATCATTAGCCTCATACCGATGGAGAAACTCTGTAGAGATTATAGAGCATCATAGCATAGAGCAACTGTTAGCATAAAGCAACAATGTATTTTTCTCTTAATTCAGGCATAAAGCCACAACATTTCAATCTTACACACATTTTGCGGAACTTCGGCTCTTCATAAAGGATCTGCTGGAAAGATTCAACATTATAATCTACTTGACAAAAATCTTACAACAGTTCGCCACTCTAACGCGTTACACGTGCATCATCCCTAGTTGAACTCTTTTAAAGCAGCAGAAGTGCTAACACTATCTATCGGCAACTAACTATAAACATCACTGACTGTCTTTTATATCAGACATAACAACGATATAAGTCGCACAAGCGATTTTTCATACAGACCTTTAAAGTTTTTATTGAAAGACCTAATAAATAATATAACGAACTGGTTCTCGAGAATTATCAAAACATATCTCCTGCCCGCTGCTTGATTGTAATGTAGACATCGCGGAATCATTGCTTCAAAGCATGGATAGCCAAGCGGCGGCACTCAAATTTGTGCTTTTCGTTTTCTTTTTTATTATACTATTTTTAAATCTCCAGTACTCAGATTTGCATAAAATTCGGCCTATAAATAACATCGTGTAACTGTTTGGTCCCCTTCGATTGCGGGGATTTTTACCAAACGGCCCAACGCGTAAAGGGTTAGTTGCGTTATAGAACGTGAAGGGAGCGGACATGCCAAGATCTCAGGCGTCTTAAGGATATAATGCTTTGTATCTGACAGGTTGCAGAAAACCAGTAAGCTGTGGCATGTACCTGCCGAGTGGAACAAGCTTCGTATGTACGAGTAAATGTATATAACTATTGTACAGTAGAAGAAATATGGATTTAAGATAGGAACACGCAATGATACAGAATTGGTCAGTACAGTGTTATTTTTATATTGTTTAATATGTTAGAAATGTTCGAAGTGGTATGCATATTTTTTTCCAGATAGTGGCATCCTTCGCAAAAAGATTAGCTATCCCTGTTTTAGAGGATGACAACGAAATTTTATTAATAGAGCGCAAACGGGTGCATATTACGTGGCAAAGATTAAATTCTGATGTTATAATAAGGCAAACAATGTAGGTTAATATTTAAATGTTTTTGAGGCCCATTTTTTTATTCAGTTTTAATTATTACTACAGGCTATGTATTTGTTTCAGTTTAAAATTTGAGATCTTCATAGTGAAACACAGTTTTCACTAAAATTATGGGCTAATTTTGTGTCGATGAATGTATTTTCATAAACGGATTTACTTTCTATCTCTACTTGTTAATATGACTATAAAAGAGAAATACACTCATGTCCATAAACTAAGGATAATGCAAAATCAGGCAAAGGAAGAGTTAGAAGTAAAACAAATTTGACTTATTTGTAAAGCTTATTTATTAAACAAAATGTAAAGAGCAAAAAAAAGATGCTATATGCTTGATATTATTAAAAAAATTAGCGATTTTTTTCTCCCTGGAGCAAATTACAAAAAAAAAAAAAAAACTATTTACAAAAAACCAATATTACATGATTGGTATGATAGTTAATACATTGTATGTCTCCCAGACGATGCAATACAGTCCGTACAACGCCTAGGCATGCTGAATATCAAATTATCGATCTGATCTTGGGGGATATTACACCACTCAAAAAGCAATGCTCTCCGAAGTTCCGGTAGACATGTAGGAGAAGGTTGACGGGCTGCAACTCGTCGGCCAAGCATGCCCCACACGTGCTGTACTGGATTCAAGTCCGGTGAGAATGCTCGCCAGTCCATACGGGTGATATCCTCCGATTGAAGGCATTCGCTTACGATGTTTGCGCGGTGAGGACGGGCGTTGTCATCCATAAACACAAATTGTGCGCCCATGGCGCGACGAAACAAACGTACATGTTGTTCCAGAATGACGTCCCGATAGATTTGGCTTGTCATGGTTCCAATTTGAGCATGCAGGTCAGTTCTGGAACCCAGAATAATTCCACCCCAAACGAGCACTCCTGCACCACCATAACGGTGTCGTTCAATGATGTTTTCTTGTTGGTAACGGGTACCTGGAGCTCTCCGTATGAAAGTCCGGCGAGAATCAGACTGCAAGCTAAACCTGGACTCGTCGGAAAACATCACACAAGCCCACTGTTGCGGTGTCCACAGTGCATGCTCTCGAAATTTTGCATATGATTCTTGAAGATGTGTGTAGTGATTTTACAGGTGATATATTTATTTTAGAGATCGATTTCCGCGTGACTCCGAATTATCCTTAATTTATGGGCATGAGTGTAAATGATAACTCAAAGATTTTATTTAATGCAAACGTAACAGCAAAGCAAACTTTTAAAGCAAAATTTACTTTGAACTATATTCAGTATATTCTTTGAAAGAGGGCTTATCTAAAGTAAGAATAAAATTTACAATTTTAATTAATACACAAATGACAATAACGCAATATTAAGCGTGATAATAATGATAACGAAAAATTAAGTAATAATAAATAAATTAATTAATACTTAAAGTAATAATAAAATTTTCGCTTTAAAATTTTCAGTTCGTCTAACGAAAAATGTCTTTCATATTACTTTCTTACACAGAGATTTCGGGAATCGGAATCCTTTCAGAGAATACGATAAACAGCGCATAAAGTTGTGATTTCCCTGAAATCCGACTTATGCTATTCACTAGTGTAATGTCAACTCATTTTAGAGTTCTTCAGTGACATTGTCGTTATAGCCTTTCTAAATTCATAATGTTTTTCAGCGTCCTTTATAGTCCTTTATTGTATAAGAACGTTTTTCTCTGCCGCTCAATCGGGTCAGTGGTTAATTATGCT